TAAGAATACCAGATCAACTTAATTGTGTCTTGAGGAACCTGTATGGGAGTCAAGAAGCAACAGTTAGAACCAAAGAGGAAACAACTGATTGGGTGAAGATTGGAAAAGGAGTATGACAAGAATTTATATTGTTACATTATTTAACTTACATGCAGAGTACATCATGCGAAATGCCAGGTTGGTTGAATCAAAAGCCAGAGTTAAGATTTCCAGGAGAAATATCAAAAATCTCAGCTATGCAGATGATACCACTCAGATGGCAGAAAGTAAAAAAGAATTAAGAAGCTCTTGATGATGGGGAAAGAGGAAAGTATAAAAGCTGGCTTGGATTTTAACATAAAAAACTAAGATTTTGACAACTGTTTCCATCACTTCCTGGCAAACAGAAGGAGAAAAAATGGAAACAGTGTCAGATTTTATATTCTTGGGCTCAAAGATCACTGCATACAGTGACTGCAGCCATGAAATTAAAAGACACTTGCTTCTTGGAAGGAAAGCTATGGCAAATCTGGACAGCATACTAAAAAGCAAACACATCACCTTGTCAACAAAGGTGCATATAGTAAAAACTATGGTTTTTCCAGTAGCAATGTATGGCTGAGAGAGTTACATTATAAGGAAAGCTGAGCACCACAGAATTGATGCTTTTGAATTGTGGTGCTGGAGATGACTTTTGATAGTCTCTTAGACAGCCAGGAGATCAAATCAGTCAATACTTAGAAGAAATTAATTCAGACTATTCACTGGAAGGTCAAATACTGAAGCTGAAACTTAAATACTTTGACCATATAATGAGAAGACAGGACTCAGTGGAAAAGACCGATGTTGGGAAAGATTGAAGTCAAAAGGAGAAAGATACAGTAGAGAATGAGATGGATAGTATCATGGAAGCAATGAACATGATCTTGGACAGACTTCAGGAGATTGTTGAGGATAGGAGGCCTGGTGTACTACAGTTCATGGAGTAATGAAGAGTCAGACACAACTGAATAACTCAACAACAACAAATACCTATGAGCAGGACAAAGAAGAAGAAAACAAGACAAAAAGTTTTTTTTTCTTTTTCTTTCTCTCCCTAGGATTAGTACTAAGCAAATCAAACTCTAATTAAGGAGGAAAAAATATTTAAAGCTGTTTTTGAGATGGCAAAGAATGAGATTCTGAGAAAGTTCCTATTCTTTGGGGAATGGCTGAGCAAGCTATAGTATATGAATGTGATAGAATACTATTGTATAGTAAGAAATGATTGGGGCAGCTAGGTGGCGCAGTGGATAGAGCACAGGCCCTGAAGTCAGGATGACCTGAGTTCAAATGCGGTCTCAGACCAAACACTTGACATGTACTAGCTGTGTGACCTTGGGCAAGTCACTTAACCCCGATTGCTTCACCGAAAAAAAAAAAAGAAAAAGAAATGATGAAGGGGATAGTTTCAGAGAAACTTTGGAAGGCTTGTATGAACTGAGGCACAGTGAAATGAACCAGGAGAACAATATGAAAAAGAAAAACAACATTGAAAGTATTAGGAATCTGATTGATGTAGTCATCAGTCACCATTCTATAGGAAAAATGATAAAAAATGCTACCCCCTTCCTGATAGAGATGAAGGACTCAAAGTGCATAATAGACATCTATTTTTTTTTTTTGGACATGGCCAAAGGAAAAATTGGTTTGCTTGACTATACACATTTGCAACAAGGGTTTTGTTTTGCTTTCATTCTTGAGGGAGGGAAGGTGGAAGAGAGAAAACGTAGATTTTCATTGTTTGAAAAAATAAAATACAATTTTTTAAAATACCAAAAAAAGTTTCTCTTCCAGCACATATTATACTAAAGAATGAAATAAAAGAAGTACCCCTTTGAATACTCCAGCCTACCAGTTGTTGTTGTGAGCTCCATAGCTCAAGCATTGTCTCTTATATATGCTAAGTAAAAGTATGTAAAACTCAAATAAGAGTGTATTTGATGCTCAGATTTTCCTGTTGCTTTCACTGAATAAAGAACTAAAACATCTATCACTGTTTTAACCTAATATGCAATAAATACAAAAGCCAGAGAGATTTAAAATAAATTACTTATGCATATATTTTTGTTTAATCTCTTTAAAACAATTTTGCATCAGTTTTTTTTAAGAAATGTCAAACGTCAATCAGTGGGACAGAATTAAGCAAAATAAACATACTAGCATAGTGTTTGATTAACCCAAAGACCCCAGCTACTGAGGGATGAAAAATTTGACAAAAACAATTGGGAAAACTGAACAGAGTTTGGCAGAAATTAGGTTTAGATCAACACCTCACACAATTTACCAACATAATCTACAAATGGATCCAAGATTTAGATATATGAATTACATTTACAAATGAATCAGAGGAGCAAGGAGGAAATTATCTTTTGGATCTATAGATTGAGGAGAATTTCATTGCTGAACAAGTGATACAGAGTATCACACAAGATAAACCTGGAAATTTTGATTACATAAAGTTTAAAAATTTTTGCACAAAGAAAACTAATGTAGTAAAAATTAGAAGGTAACTGGGAAAAAAATCTTTGCAACAAGGGTCTCTGATAAAGGTCTCATTTCCAAGATAGATGAGGAACTGATTCAAATTTATAAGACTAAGAGCTATTCCCCAATTGATAAATGATCAAAGAATATGAATAGGCAGTTTTCAAAAGAAAAAAAAAACCCAAGCTATCAACAATCATGAAGTAGAGGTTTAATCACTAATAACTAGAGAAATGCAAATTAAAATAACTTTGAGGTTCTTCCTCTTAGCTATCAAAATGGCAAAGATGCCAAAAGAGGAAAATAACAAGTGTTGGAGGGACTATAGGAAAACAGATATATTTAGTCACTGTTAGTGGAGCTGTATTGATCCAGTCATGCTAGAAAACAATTTGGAACCATGCTCAGAAAGTGACCAAAGTGTGCATACACTTTGAATCAGCTAACAGATCTATACTTGCAAAGAAATAAAAGAGAAAAAGAATATATATGTACAAAACTATGCTAGCTCTTTTCATGGTAGCACAAAATTGAAAACTAAGGGGATGTCCTCCTATTAGACAACAGCTAAACAAATTGTGAGATATGAATGTAATGGAATATTATTGTGTCATAAGAAATAACAAAATAAACAATTTCACAGGAAACTGAGAAGAGCTTTCAAACTGATGCAGAGTGAAGGAAGCTGAGCTAGGAGGACAATTTATACAGTAATAGCAACATTACTGAGAAAACAACTTTGAAAGTTGTGTTAAGTACTTTAGAATATAATGATAAACCATTAGTTCAGAAGAATAAAGATGAAACATGCAACTCGCCTCCTGACAGGTGACCTTAAGTTGCAGAAAATGATAACTATATATCATTTTGGACATGGCTAATATGGGAATTTCTTTTGCTGTTCTATGTAGAAATATATTGAGAGATTGGGGGGGCGTTGTTCAATAGACAGGGGTAGTGGGAGGGTCTTTTAATAAAAAATGTTTAAAATTTTAAAAAATTTAAAAGGGGAAACTTATGGATTATAATCAAAGACTTGGAAAAAAGTATCATCATCAAAGATATGCTTAATGCCTAATGTGATAAAATTGTGGTTTCATGATGCAGAATTAAAGAACATATGTCCAAAAGAAGGAAATATTAAAGAAAAATTAAGTTAGATTTGAAAGAAACCAGAAAATCAAAAAAGAGATACTGTATATTACTTAATTTTCAATTCATCTATATGGCTATATTCTAGAAAAAATATAAAGGACTTTTTAATTTTAAAAAGATCAATTTCTAGCCCTGTCTCTCCAATTATCAAGTTACCTACTTATATTCACCAATGTTCATGCCTGAAACACATAGCTAAGGGACAGATGTACTTGTGTTCCCAATAGTACTATTGGCCCTAAAATTGTTAAGTATAGGAGACATAGTACAAAGCAGTCATTTTAGGCTGTGGAGACACTGTGGACCTACCATATAACTCTTACATAGTTTGGGGGTTTACTAGATCTTCTTTAGTTTTTCCTTGGGGCTAAGGCAGATATTTAAAATCCCTGGGGAGGAATGAGTTGGTTCTGGGACTCTGGCCAGCATTTGGAACCCCGGGATTTGCATGGTGGGGAGGGGTCTTGGGTTGTCTAGGTTAAACTGAACATTTTAGAAGTCAATAGACACCAGGTCCTAGCAAACTAGCACTTCTGGATGGCTTGTGACATATCATGTATTCCCAAAACACACACACACAAAAAATGGAGGTGGGGGGAAACCTCACTTTGCATTTTAACATGACCTCATTTATAACTTCTTTGGCACTTTAAAAAAAAAAAAAAGAGCACCATAACAGTACTCTCAGTTTACAGGACTGCAGTATGCCTAGTCATCTACATTCCTAGGACACTAAAGCCAACTGTAAAAGGGATTATTGGCATGAGAAATTAAATTTAACTCCACAGGGGGCTAGTTTTATACTGAGCCATTCTGTACATCTTATTGATGTATGCTAGCTTTGGACAGCACCTAGTTGACCTAGCCTTTTTTACAATTCTCCAAATGTGACACCCTACTCTATTTATACAACTAGGATGAAAGACCCTAAGCATATCCTTACAGCAAAATATGGTCAGCATTTTCTCACCTTCTTCCCCTACTCCCTCCCCAGATACTGTGTATACTTTAAGAAAAAAATAAAAGAAAAGAGAGCAAAACTTTTTTTAAAGCCTTGCTGCTTAATTCTTTGAGATTTGAGGTTTGTGCTAATTTACATGCTTGTTTTAAGGAGGCATCCATAGACCTGTTTCTCATATATTCATTATTTTCCCCCTTCATGATACTTGAGAACAAATTGCATGGGATGAAAGGTCCTAGCAAATCCATTTCTTACCAAAAAATATCAGCTTTGCACCTAAGAACTTAAATGAAATGCATACTCATTTTTTTCCAAATATTTTAAAGAATCAATTTTTTTTAAAAAAATTTATTGTCATTTAAACGTTCATTTCTCTTACCTGAACTTTATACAGAGGTTGCTTTGGAGTGTTTACATCCCTCAGCAGACGATGCGATATGTTCTTTAGTTCTAAAAGCCTATGGGTAAGTTGAGGCTGCAAAAGTTTGGCAACTGATTTTGATGATCTGGATATCTTATATAATCCTTGGAGCACTGCTCCTGCATGTATCCTAGCTAGAGTGATAGCCATTCTTGTTTTGGATGTTGTCGGGGCCACATCTGTTTTCTGAAAAACAAACCTTTGAAAAGTGACTGGCATATGATCCGAAAGCTCCTTGAGGCTGACACTAGATTTTGTACAACTTTGTATCCCCATAATTCCCTGTATATGATAATATCTGTTGGATAAATGACAAACCCCACCAGTTACAAAGATTTGTGATTGAATTACATGGAATCTTCCAGTGTGGATTGGAAACACCCTCTACCAACAAGAAACCCTCTATGACTTAGCAAATGAGTCTTAATCTGTAGCATGAAGAGGTTAAGTGGTTTGCCCAGTGTCATGTAACTGGTGGGTTGGTGGGGTTGGAATTTAAACCCAGGTCTTCCTAACTTCAAGCCCAGACTCTATCCACTACTCCAAACTAAATTATAAAACAAGAATATCGTGAATCAGATATATTTTGGCGTCACCAGAACATGTTATATCATGATGTATGTTATAATGGTACATTGTTGGCCCTACTTGGAGTGAGGACGAGTTGGCTTCAAATCCTGCCCCCTACAATTATTGGCTTTATAACCCTGGACAGGTCATGATTCCTTTTCCTCATCTGTAAAATGAGGGAGTCAGGCTCCATGGCTTCTAAGCTCTTTTCCAGCTCTAAAGATATGCTTCTTTGATTTCTAATAGAAAATGAACCCCTAGAAATCACTTAGTATTGCTTTACTTCATTCTAACCAATGAAACAAAATGAGCCATTTCTCAGTTAATTTTTGATGTTATCCCTATACTTTAAGTATTTGAATTTTTAAAAAGTCAATACAAATTAATACCTCTGCATCACGTAGATATGTCTATGTAAGTTTATTTAGTAGCCTAATATGCTGAAATGTTTACTTTAAATGTCTCAACATGAATTTTGGCATTATTACAGATGGTTAAGGTGCTAGTGGGATATTATCAAGTAAATGGATGATTTTTAAAGAATATTTTTTTCCAAACTATGGCAAAGCCTTCTCCACTCTAGAGTATGAACCTTTCTGGCAAATCAGATTATTTACCTCTCATAAATAAGCTATCTTTCTTCCTGGCCAGTGTAAGACAATTATTGGCCCACATTTCTCTTCCAAACCCCTTCATTTACTCAGAGGGTTCCATACTAACATCTAAAGTCTCTTGATTGTAAGTCTTTCAACACCTTTCCACATTGTTTTTTGTCTTTTCTTTTTTTTTTTTTAACTCCAGTGCTTAGCACAGTGCCTGGCACATAGTGGTGCTAATAAATATGTATTGACTGACTGGGTAATATATGCCCACAACATCTATCTTTTTCTTTCTTATTATTTTTCCTATCACATTTGCTTTAATTCAAGTAAGCTTTATTTGGAGTATATGTAGATGCATTTTTATTTTATATTAATTAAATCTTAAGTGAACTGTAAAATTTGCTTTGAAGACAGTGAAAAATTTCCTATCCTGTTTTACATTGTCATCTATATCATGTTGATTTCTCTTAACCATAACAAACAGAACCACAGGAGCCATTTCCTTCTTGAACTTTGATTGATTTGCCTTGGATCAAATTCCTAACATTTGTATGTTGTTTTTGGTTTCTTTTTCTAGGCCCCTGACCTTATCTTCTTTCCTTAGGCTGGAATCCTTATAGCACCCTAAAATTTAGGGAGTCTTTTATGAGCTAAAATTTGCAACATTTTTGCCTTATATTTGAACTATCACTCTTTCTTGTGTCTTTATGCATTCAACCTCAAGATCAAGAATTCAACAAGTGGTAGGAAAAATACAACATTCATTTGTTTGTTGAAAAGAAGATCTCTTTTCAAAATTAGAAAGTCACGTTACCTGGTTTGACTGTGATAATCTTAATACGCTGGGGAATTCATCCTTAAACTCGTCTACAAGGTCCATGACTGCTTTCTGTAATCCCTCAACTGAGAGATGAAAAGAAGCCAGAAAAATATCTTAACTAAAAATATACTCCCCAACACATTCCCAAAGAACGCAACATATATAAGTGGGAACTCCTTGGAGACTGAGGAAATAAGAAAGTCTTGAGGAATTTTTATCCCAATTTCCCACATCCCCACTCCCATTTGAACAAGATTGTGTATACTTTTTCCAGAAAAGCTCTTCACTACTTGGCCACATATCCAACCAACGCGTTTGATTGGCATGATGAATCCCTGCTTGTACTCCTAATTCTTCTGAATTAGGTTCTCCTGCAGCCCTAGGCAATGTTTGTCCAACTCAATCTGTAGGCAGGAATGAAGGTAGCCTTCCTACTCAAGAAAGCAGTGAAGGCCCAGAACCTGTGGTTGACTACCAGAATCATTTTCTATGGAACAATGGGCCTCTTGTGAACTTGTTACAGAATCTTCTGAAATCACAATAGTAAGGACAGGGATTGTAGAGGTGCTTGTGAGCAGAACAGAGTGAGAGCTCAAATCATCAAGCACTGATGAGCTATGGGAAATAAGACAACTGTCCTGTGCTCTACAGGGATGCCTGAATTAGTGAATCCTCTAGTAACAAAGTTTCTTTGTAAGGAAATTTGCCAGTACTCTTTAAAAAAAAATACCTTTCTCAACCATGGGAAACAGAGGTACCTATTAATCATATTGGCATGTGTTGGTATTCTTTCCATCATTACCAATTGGATTCTTTCCATACCTTCTCAAATATGTCCCATTTTTATCCATATCTTTCTGTATATTCTCCATAAAGTAAGCACCCAACTCAATGGAGGTCTTGTTCTGATTTTTTTTCATATTTAATGAGTACAAGCACAGATTGTCCAACTGTTGTTACTTGCTACATGATGGCTCACCTCCATTTTCAGTGTGTCATTGTTGACTGCAACCTAATTATAGACATAATCCATTTTTCCATTGCCTAGAAGAGATAATATGACCAAGAAAGATATCTCTAAACATAATTCCTATTTGTTTACACCCAGATCAAGGTAAAGAGGGCTTATCTTGGGCAAGGTTATGAAGTCTGAAGTTTATTTTCTATACTTTGAGAGTCCCCACTTCAGAATTAGAATAGGCAAAGAAGAAACAACGCTATCATTCTTTGCAGATGATACGATGGTATACTTAGAGAATCCTAGAAAATCAAGTAAAAAATTACTTGAAATAATAAACAGCTTAAGCAAAGTTGCAGGATATAAAATAAACCCACATAAATTATTGGAATTTCTATATATCACTATATAGCAAGAGATAGAAAGAGAAATTCCATTAAAAGTTACCGTAGACATCATAAAATATTTGGGAGTCTACCTGCCAAAACAAAACCAGGAACTATATGAACACAATTACAAAATGCTTTTCACACAAATAAAATCTGATCTAAATATGTTTAATAGGAAAGTATATGTAAAGCCTATATCAGATTGCATGGTGTCTTAGGGATGGGTGAGGGGAGGGAGAGAGAGAAAATTTAGAACTCAAAATCTTATGGAAGTGAATGTTGAAAACTAAAAATTAATCAGTTAATATAAAAAAAGAAAAAAGAAAGTCCCCACTTCAGTACTCCCTCCCTCTTTAGCTCACTTTATTCTCTCCCTTTTACCAAAAATTTTGATTACATAAAATTTAAGTTTTTGCACAAAAAACTCAATGTAGCTAAGATTAAAATAGTTAACTGGTGGGAAAATCTTCACAGCAAGTTTCTCTGATAAAGGTCTCATTTCTAAAGTATATAAGAAACTGATTCAAATTTATAAGAATGAGTCATTCCCAACTGACAAATGGTCAAAAGATAAGAACAAGTAATTCTCGGGGGAAGAAAGACAAGCTATGTATAGCCATATGAGAAAAATAAATTTGGAAAATTGATAACTAGAGAAATGCAAATTAAAACAACTCTGAAGTTTTAATTCATACCCATCAGATTGGCAGAGCTGACCAAAAAAAAAAAAATTTTTAAAAAGTAAAATGACCAATGATGGAAGGGCTAACGGGGGAAAGGCACATTAATACACCATATTCCCCCAAAGTTACTAAACTGTGATCTATCAATACAATTGCAAAACCTAGATGACCAATGTATCAGAGAAAGAGGAAATATACTCATATGTACAATAATATTTATACAAGCTCTTTTTATGTTAGAAAAGAATTGGAAACTAAAGGAATGCCCATCAATTGGTGAATGGTTGAAAAAATTATGGTATATGAAAAAATTTTTAAAAATTATTATATCATAAAAATGATGAAAGGGACAGGCTTTTTTTTAAAAATTTGGGAATAGGAATTGAAGCAGAGTGAAATGAAAAGTACTAGGAGAATAATTTATACTATAACAATAACATTGTAAAAATGAACAGACTTAAGAACTCTAATCAACTCAATGACTGATGATAAGGAATGCTATCCATCTCCTGATAGAGGTGGAGTACTAATTATGGAGAATGAAACACACTTTTGGATATAACCAATATGGGAATTAGTTTTTCTTGACTATGCATATTTATTACAAGGGTTTTATCTTTTTTTGTTTTATTTTCCTCAGGGGAGAGAGATGGAAGAGAAAACAAATGCTTATTAGTTGAAAACAATTAATTTTTAAAAGTACATTAAAAAAAATTCTTCCCCTAGCCGCCTACTTGCAAAATGTACCTCATATATATGGAGTAACCTTTTATATTTACACTACCATATTTCACTGTACAGTTGTCACAGATTTTATGTCAAAGTTTTTTTGCAAAAAAAGTGAGGTGTGACCATTATGTGAGGCTTAAAAAAAAAGCTTTCACCAGTCTTCCACCAATTTTTCACTCACTGAAAATTATCTTTCTGTAGCACTGTTTCCATGCTGTTCAGAAAACACAATCACTTTCAGCTTGAAGCCCGCAAAATAGTTTTTTATATTTGCCCATAATCAGAAAGTAATAATTTGCATGTTAATGCATCACTGGCAGAAGAATTGTACAGTTTAGCTAACCAGGAAGATGCAAGTCTTACCATATCATGTGACTTACTCAAGGCAGCTTCACCTGCCAGCTGCTCCCCTCTTACCTAAGGCTCTTCACTGGATTGAATGACAATATCATTAGAACTGCAGCACTCTAAACAAAGCAAATTGATTTTCAGAAATATACTGACAATGCACAAGGCCCTCAAAGAGATAAATGTGTATCCATATGCCACCAGTGAATACATTGCTCCTCTGTTTACCTTTTAGGCAGCTTGATTAAGGTTATAAACCAATTTTTGAACTGGGGGGAAAAAACCGAGGGAGATGACGACGATTATGCGGTGAAATATGACATACAGGTCTTATTGTGGTATAGGATGTTGGTTTAAACTTCATTTTTGCTAAACTTACTTTCAAGTTTTATTGTACCTTAAGCTGTAACTGCCAAGATTAGTTTTATTGTGTCTAATTCGTGGATTGTATGACCCTTCTTATTATATGTATAAGAATATATTTGATTTTTAGGATTTTATAACTGTAGGTGTTATTTTTCCTCACTCTAGGGAATGTAAATGCTTGATAGATGATATATATTTATACATAGCCATACTGATAATTAATGTCTTTCTCTCCTTCCTTGGATCTCTGTAGATTGGAAGTTTATTCCCTCTCTACTACAGAGTCTGGGTTAGCATTCATATGTAGAATCTAAAGGGGAAAAAGCTCAAGTACTTCCATGAGACCTTTTATTCTCATTCTGAAAATAGTCAGGTAATTTAGGAAGCAGAACTCCTGGGTAAGATATATTAATTGGCTACTATCCCATATGCCTATGTAGTTTTAATTGCTTATTGCTTTTAATTGTGTAGTATTATAACTCCTGTCTTATCAGCATACACAACTCCCAAACAACCAGAAAAGAAAGTTCTCATTAACAAAGTACTTAGTGCTGTCAAATTCAATGTCAAAAACAGATAAGGTTTTATCAATGGAAATGATATTAAAGAAGATGCATTATGATGACTACACATGTAGAATCTATATCATATTGCTTGCCTTTTCAAGGTGGGGGGGAAGAGGAAGGGGCAGGAGGGAAAGAATTTGGAATTCAAATTTTTAGTTGCATGCCTAATTCATTGATCTTTGCATTCTCTATTTTATTGATGTAAGTGTTTAGAGATATAAATTTTCCCCTAAGTACTGCTTTGGCTGCATCCCATAAATTTTGCTATGTTGTCTCATTGTTGTCATTCTCTTTAATGAAATTATTGATTACTTCTATGATTTGTTCTTTGATCCACTCATTCTTTAGGATTACATTATTTAGGTTTTTAGCTATGTTTCCATGGCCTTTTGATTTGAAAAGGATGCATTTAATATTTCTGCTTTGCTGCATTTGGTTGTGAATTTTTTGTGCCCTAATATATGGTCAATTTTTTTGTAGTTACCATGTATTACTGATAAAAAAGATATTCCCTTCTATACCCATTCAGTTTTCTCCAGAGGTCTATCATATCTAACTTTTCACAAGTTGTATTCATCTACTTAAGTTCTTTCTTGTTTATTTTTGTTTAGATTTATCTAGCTCTGAGAGAGGAAAGTTGAGATCTCCTATGAGTATATTTTTACTGTGTATTTCCTCTTCTAACTCATTGAACTTTTCCTTTAAGAATTTGGAAGTTATACCATTTGGTGCATATATGTTTAGTACTAATATTACTTCATTGTCTATGGTACCTTTTAGTAAAATGTAGTTTCCTACTTATCTCATTTAATTTGATCTATTTTTGTATTTGCTTTGTCTGAGATCATGATTGCTACCCCTGCCTTTTTTACTTCAGCTGAGGCATAGTAGATTCTGCTCCAGCCCCTTACCTTAACTCTGTGGGTGTCTCTCTGTTTCAAGTGTGTTTCTTGTAAATAACATATTGTCAAATTCTAATTTTTACTCCACTGCTAGCTGCTTCCATCTTATGGGTGAGTTCATCCCATTCACATTTACAGTTATGATTACTATTGTGTATTTGTCTACATCCTATTTTTCCTGTTTATCTCTCTCTCTCTCTCTCTCTCTCTCTCTCTCTCTCTCTCTCTCTCTTTTTCTCCCTTTAGGCTGTCCCTCCTCAAAGCTCTATTTTGCTTCTGACCACTGCCTCCTCCAACCTGCCCTCCCTTCTATCACCTCCCTTCTCCTATTGCCCTCCCCCCTACTTTCCTGTAGGGAAAGACAGATTTCTATATCCAATTGAAT